TAGTATTAGTACCTACGCTTTGTGTCATAGTTTTTATTAGAGTGCTAATGATAGCAGGGGTGTAGGAACCCCTGTACACCCCTGAATAATAGTATCTACTTGAAATTATCTAGACAAGTAATAATAAAGAAATTACGGGTTTTATCTAGATAATACTATCTAAATATTATCTATTGCCAACCCTGCTCAAAGTTAAATATATATTATATATTATATAAATATAAATATAAATCATTAATTAAAATTTAAAATTTACATTTCGCAGGAGTAGTGCCTTTTGTACTGGTAATCTCTACAAATATCTGTCTCTGCGTTCTTGCTAGAATAAAAATAATGCAAGAAAACGAGGTTAGTTTCATAATAATATTACTAATAATGATATAAGAATTTCTTAAGTCATATATGTGAATTATAATTTTACCAAGTATCGCACTAAATCGTCTTAAATAAAATCAACCCTTCGAAGTTGGATGATTGAAATCTTCCTTCCATTTTTATTGGTGAGTATAGTTTACCGGCTTATGCGATTATTCCATGGTTTACACTACTGTAACCATAATTACATTAGGTAACCATAATTACATTAGGTAACCATAGTAACATTATGTAACCATAATTACATTAGGTAACCATAGTAACATTAGGTAACCATAGTAACATTAGGTCGTAGTGGCACTTAACAGAAGAATGTCTGAAGGAGTAGCAAAGTGCTCAGTTTCACGCAAACCTCCCAGCACAGCTATAAAAGGTAAAAATACAATAAAGCTCTAGACTCTAATTGTATAAACTCCAAGCACAGCTATAAAAGGCCGCACATAAGTTCGGCCATATTTTGCGAAAAGTGCGATCCCAGCTGATTCTGCCTAAAATTGCTTGATATGCGGCTAGTGTGCGGCACTATTAGTGCGGCTAGTGTGCGGCGAATATTTGAGAAATGTGGCAAACATGCGGCGAATTTTCTTCGATTAGGTAGTACTAGTAGAGTAGTAGGTTTTTCTAAGTTGGAAAGCTGCTCAAAGTCAAACAATACTACATGGGGTTAGTTTAATAATTCTTTCTATAAGAAAAAATGAGTATTGCACGATTTACAAAACAATTTTCTTCTACTGATAGTGATAAAGGGAAAAACTTAATTCCTAAGTTCTCAATGCATTATGTTACTAGGCCGCGCTCCAGGTAATGCATTATGCAGCCGACATGGTAATGAGTTGTATCACGTCGTGACCCCCATTGTCGTTTCACTACGATACTGGGGGAGCCGCGCACTCGTGCGCGGCGGATCATACAACGTATGACAAGTAATGAGTACCAACTAAGCCCAATTTTTAGCTGTACTTACTTTAATTTGCAACTGAACTCGCCGCAATATTTCTGAACTCCAAACTTTACGATAAATTGTTGCTTTTCATACCTGAAATTATAAAAAATTGTACGGGAAGTTCCAAATTGTGCGAAAAAGTGCGGAATATAGTTAAACGAACTCGTCGCATGTTGCCTCTGTAAGAATACAGTAAAGCAAAAGCGGCTCGTGAGACCTGGCTGGCGGTTTACTTGGGTGTCTGGTCGACGGAATGATAAATTACTGATTACACCGTACACGCGGCAAACCTGACACCTCATGTTACACGGCACACGCCCATATTTTTTGACAAATTACACGCAGGTCCCAGCAAACTTAAAACGGAATCGGAAGAAATGTCGATACAACCAAAGGACTCGTACTGTAGTACAAAACGATCGACACGTGCAGTGTGAGCGTGAGACCTGAGACGCGCAGGCCATAGTTTAAAAGTTATGGGGGGTGATTCGGAATCAGCTTCCAAAAATACACCGATTCAGATCAATTTCATACCCAAAGGGCCTTTTCACAAAAATTTTCTTAAAATTTGGGCGAGCGATTTAGTTGTCATACGTTGTATGACCCGCCGCGCACGAAGTGCGCGGCTCCCCCTGTAGCGTCGAGGACGCTACAGTGACGCGTCACTATAGTGAAGCGACCGTGGGGGTCACCACGTGATACAACGATTTAGTAGGAGCGGTGTCATAGACCCTTTAACACCATTTAATTAACGATGTCAATTCTTCGCAGCTCGGCAAAGCCCAGTAGTGCATTTTGCTGATCTAACGAATAGAAGCGAGAAGCATAATTTTGTCATACGTTGTATGACCCGCCGCGCACGAAGTGCGCGGCTCCCCCTGTATCGTCGAAGACCGTGGGGGTCACCACGTGATACAAGCATAATTGAGTGCGCGGCGCGGCCCAGTATGCAGTAACACATCCCGCTACAATATAAAAACCATCAATTTATACAGCAATACGAGCGCTGATATGCTTTGTACTTGTAGTGTTTTCAATTAACTATGTGTTAAATTTAGATCTGCAAGTTGTCCAAATATGAAATAAGTTTTGGACACCTTGAAATTGAAATTCGTTAGGAGCAGACTGCTCCTAAAGAATTTCGACTGAGTCACGTGCGCGTGAACTCAAACGTGAACTCGCACGTTTGCGCAGTAAAATTGCAGATTTTAAAAATAAAATATAATTGCGCGGCTTATTGGTAAATGAAAAAATAAAAAGTCACTATCTTTACAGGTATCCTTACAGTTGTAGGGCTATGCTCGGTTGCTATAGTAACGTGGACACCCAGTATTGCTACTCACTTGTTTACTTACATCAACAAAGTTGATCGTGGCCCGGTCTGGCTGGAACGAGTTAGAATCTGTGCTTACTTTCTCGGATCATTTGGTAATTTATAAAGGAGCAGCTGAGTGTAGTTTGGTAATTTACTAAAGTAGCAGAGTGTAGTTTGGTAATTTACTAAAGTAGCAGAGTGTAGTTTGATAATTTACTAAAGTAGCAGAGTGTAGTTTGGTAATTTACTAAAGTAGCAGAGTGTAGTTTTGTAATTTACTAAAGTAGCAGAGTGTAGTTTTGTAATTTACTAGAGCAGCAGAGTGTAGTTTGGTAATTTACTAAAGTAGCAGAGTGTAGTTTGATAATTTACTAAAGTAGCAGAGGGTAGTTTGGTAATTTACTAAAGTAGCAGAGTGTAGTTTGGTAATTTACTAAAGTAGCAGAGTGTAGTTTGGTAATTTACTAAAGTAGCAGAGTGTAGTTTGGTAATTTACTAAAGTAGCAGAGTGTAGTTTGGTAATTTACTAAAGTAGCAGAGTGTAGTTTGGTAATTTACTAAAGTAGCAGATTGTAGTTTGGTAATTTACTAAAGTAGCAGAGTGTAGTTTGGTAATTTACTAAAGTAGCAGAGTGTAGTTTGGTAATTTACTAAAGTAGCAGATTGTAGTTCGGTAATTTACTAGAGCAGCAGAGTGTAGTTTGGTAATTTACTAAAGTAGCAGAGTGTAGTTTGGTAATTTACTAAAGTAGCAGAGTGTAGTTTGGTAATTTACTAAAGTAGCAGAGTGTAGTTTTGTAATTTACTAAAGGAGTAGAGTGTAGTTTGGTAATTTACTAAAGTAGCAGAGTGTAGTTTGGTAATTTACTAAAGTAGCAGAGTGTAGTTTGATAATTTACTAAAGTAGCAGAGGGTAGTTCGGTAATTTACTAGAGCAGCAGAGTGTAGTTTGGTAATTTACTAAAGTAGCAGAGTGTAGTTTGGTAATTTACTAAAGTAGCAGAGTGTAGTTTGGTATTTACTAAAGTAGCAGAGTGTAGTTTGGTAATTTACTAAAGTAGCAGAGTGTAGTTTGGTAATTTACTAAAGTAGCAGAGTGTAGTTTGGTAATTTACTAAAGTAGCAGAGTGTAGTTTGGTAATTTACTAAAGTAGCAGAGTGTAGTTTGGTAATTTACTAAAGTAGCAGAGTGTAGTTTGGTAATTTACTAAAGTAGCAGAGTGTAGTTTGGTAATTTACTAAAGTAGCAGAGTGTAGTTTGGTAATTTACTAAAGTAGCAGAGTGTAGTTTGGTAATTTACTAAAGTAGCAGATTGTAGTTTGGTAATTTACTAAAGTAGCAGAGTGTAGTTTGGTAATTTACTAAAGTAGCAGAGTGTAGTTTGGTAATTTACTAAAGTAGCAGATTGTAGTTCGGTAATTTACTAGAGCAGCAGAGTGTAGTTTGGTAATTTACTAAAGTAGCAGAGTGTAGTTTGGTAATTTACTAAAGTAGCAGAGTGTAGTTTGGTAATTTACTAAAGTAGCAGAGTGTAGTTTGGTAATTTACTAAAGCAGCAGAGTGTAGTTTGGTAATTTACTAAAGTAGCAGAGTGTAGTTTAGTAACTATTATTAATTAATTTCTCAGATTATTAGTTCCCGAACAAGCGATGTTTTATAACGTGACTATAAATTTCAGCTAACCCAGTGCTGTACATGGTGGTTAATAGAGATTTCGTGGCATATCTCCGTATACTAGCAGCACGACGGAGGTGCAAGGACTCCCTCCCCCCGCCCAGACACAACACAGCTCACGTTGCAGTAGTGAGAACCTTTAGGAAGTGTAAAATGGAACGCCTTCGGAGAATCAAGGAAAACACTCATGGTTGTCATGGTAGTAGCCTGGCAATGAAGACTCCGTCTGTTATGTTCGAAGAAATGCGGTCACACGAAAATATTATCAGAGTAGTAGATACTGCTTTATAGGAGGCAATAAAAGGTAGACTGTAGTGTTGTTACACTACAGTCTACTAATGCTATTAGTTTTAATTAGTATAATTAGCATTTTAGTCTGAATTGAGTGTTTTAAACTAATTACAACACTACAAATCTATTACATTTATTGAGCTATTTAAGAATTTATTTTGACATTTCGTCCCTGATAAAGGCGTGTAGCCGAAACGTCGACATTATTTTGTTTATTACACTGAGTGGAGACTCTCACTTCGTCCCCAACAATCAAATATGATCAAGTATCAACCCACTCACAAGAACGAAAAATATACATGTTTTCAGAATCCCCTGAAAAAGGAACCTTTTTCATATTTCTACATTTTTATAGATTCAGCAAATGCAAGGTTTACAAGGTTTACAATAAAACAAACATATTAGCGTTTTTTAATGCAGGTTACATTTTTAATAATATAAATCTCTTAAAATAAAATATAGAATTGCACATCAGTGGAAGGTTACAGTGATTTTTAGGATCGTAAAAATATATTTTCAAACATCGTAATTAAAATTACAAGAACAGTCAGTTTTTCATGCCGTATTAATATCTTTTTTGTTTGTTCCACAGTCCCAATGTTAGTGTTACTGTGGCAACCGCTCCGATTTTACCATTTCAAGACTTCAAACTGAGAAATTAAGTTTTATTTAGCTGACAATACATGGTAACATTTAACATTTTGTAAGATCTACAATTTAAACGGTTTCGTTTTTAACTGTAAAATCATATCCACATCATCTTGTCACTCTTACCACAGTTTAGTAGTAGAAGAGCTCATAACCAAGTCACTCTTACCACAGTTTAGTAGTAGAAGAGCTCATAACCAAGTCACTCTTACCACAGTTTAGTAGTAGAAGAGCTCAATAGCACTCTTACCACAGTTTAGTAGTAGAAGAGCTCAATAGCACTCTTACCACAGTTTAGTAGTAGAAGAGCTCAATAGCACCACTCTTACCACAGTTTAGTAGTAGAAGAGCTCAATAGCACTCTTACCACAGTTTAGTAGTAGAAGAGCTCAATAGCACCACTCTTACCACAGTTTAGTAGTAGAAGAGCTCAATAGCACTCTTACCACAGTTTAGTAGTAGAAGAGCTCAATAGCACCACTCTTACCACAGTTTAGTAGTAGAAGAGCTCATAACCAAGTCACTCTTACCACAGTTTAGTAGTAGAAGAGCTCATAACCAAGTCACTCTTACCACAGTTTAGTAGTAGAAGAGCTCAATAGCACTCTTACCACAGTTTAGTAGTAGAAGAGCTCAATAGCACTCTTACCACAGTTTAGTAGTAGAAGAGCTCAATAGCACCAAGTCACTCTTACCACAGTTTAGTAGTAGAAGAGCTCAATAGCACTCTTACCACAGTTTAGTAGTAGAAGAGCTCAATAGCACTCTTACCACAGTTTAGTAGTAGAAGAGTATAACCAAGTCACTCTTACCACAGTTTAGTAGTAGAAGAGCTCAATAGCACTCTTACCACAGTTTAGTAGTAGAAGAGCTCAATAGCACCAAGTCACTCTTACCACAGTTTAGTAGTAGAAGAGCTCAATAGCACTCTTACCACAGTTTAGTAGTAGAAGAGCTCAATAGCACTCTTACCACAGTTTAGTAGTAGAAGAGCTCAATAGCACCAAGTCACTCTTACCACAGTTTAGTAGTAAAAGAGCTCATAACCAAGTCACTCTTACCACAGTTTAGTAGTAGAAGAGCTCATAACCAAGTCACTCTTACCACAGTTTAGTAGTAGAAGAGTATAACCAAGTCACTCTTACCACAGTTTAGTAGTAGAAGAGCTCAATAGCACTCTTACCACAGTTTAGTAGTAGAAGAGCTCAATAGCACTCTTACCACAGTTTAGTAGTAGAAGAGCTCAATAGCACCAAGGTAGTCCTTGATCCACTCTCCGAAAACTTTGTATTTGAGCCCGGCTTGGGTGATAGCTCCACTCATACTACGGCTGATATCGGCATCAAATCTGAATATTTATTTACGAAATAGCGGCTAGTTGAACATTCAGTAGATTACAGGCAAGCAGTATATAACAATTAATTGGCTGTTTAAAGTTACTTTTTTAATTTAATTTCTTACTTCTTCAATACAAAAACTGAATACACAAACTCACTGGGGTCCCAGGAAATAGGTGATAGAGTATCTATCAAAGTCAACTTCAGCAACTCTGTGTCTGACTGAGGGCACCTTGTTGTCGATGAGGTCATCTACCAGTTTTCCGATGTTGACGAGGAAAGCATTGTCTCCTGTCACGGGGGCGGGTCTGTACTGGTTCTTGTGTAGGATCTGACAATGAAACTTTCATCAAATAATATAGATTTATACAGCAATAAACGTATATAAAAACAATGGCGATAAAGAATGTTTTACGATTTACTTAATCGTAAAATTTTAATATTCTGAGATTGTTTATTTTGATCAGTAGAGGTTTATTTTACCTCAAGACCACCGTTGTTGAAGGTGGAGAGGACGGTGACGGTAGAGTCAATGTGTTCTAGCTCTCTCAGGAGAGTTCCGTCAAAGTCAGAGTACATGTTGCTGTTGATCCTTTGAGAAATGTATTATTTATAATTATAGGGACTGCCAAACACAAGGATTTTGTAAAGGAATATCAAGTACCCATCATATATAGCTGAGGTAGAATGTTACTCACTGTCTTCGGATGGGGTATTTTCTGAGTCCCATAGCAGAGAACTCGTCCTCAGAAAAGAGAGCGGGCAGGTTGGGGTACTCCATAGATCGAGCAATGCTCCTGATGAAGGCTCGTCCAATGTTCCTTCTGATTTCAAATCCAGTCTGGAAGGTCTCCTTGAATCCTTTGTCGAAGGTGCAGTTTCCAGTCTCGGGCCACACGTTGGGTTCCTGGCAGTCGTATCTGAGTTTCTCGAGGATGTCGTCACTCTCGAAGCTTGCAGCTCGGGTCTCGTGGGGTCCAATGTTGTAGAGGTTCTTGTATTGGAGGGTATTCTCAACATCGTCAAGTCCGGGGCAGTATCCTGGATATTAGTAATTTTAGATCATTTTAATCATATGAGCTGCGTCTTACTAGGGGGTAAGTTCTACAAATGGATAGATAATTAGTTGCCACTATCAATTAATTAAGATAATTAGTTGCCACTATCAATTAATTAAGATAATTAGTTGCCACTATCAATTAATTAAGATAATTAGTTGCCACTATCAATTAATTAAAATAATTAGTTGCCACTATCAATTAATTAAGATAATTAGTTGCCACTATCAATTAATTAAGATAATTAGTTGCCACTATCAATTAATTAAGATAATCAGTTGCCACTATCAATTAATTAAGATAATTAGTTGCCAAAAGGCACCACTCACCTCAATGAAAAGAGCAAGGAAGTATAAAACAATAATTCCCCTGGAAGACTAAAGTAAGGTTACCTCTGTAAGCGTTCTTGTTGGCGGGGTTGTGTCTCCTGATAGCCAGCTCGTCCTTGACATCCTCATCCAGATCGTAGAATTGCTTCATGTAATTCTGCTCGACAGAAGCGTCATAGTCGGCCACATCCACTACGTAGAAAAATCCGTATTCTTTCATTGATTCCAACAGTAGTTTGTCGATGGAAGCATCATCGTTCAGAAGGGAGAGGTAGGGGATCTTTGCAATAGAATTAAAGCTGTCCAACTTGTCAGACAATTCAGGCCACAATCTGAATCATTCATTGTATTAATTTATTATATTAATTTATTATATTATTATACATTAATTTAATGTATTATTATATATTAATTAATGGGCGGCAGAATAAAGAATACCTTGCCACCATCTCAGGAATAAAGGCTGCAGCGGGAGCAGCCAGTAATACCACAAGTAGACATAATGTTATCTTCATCGCTAGTGGAGAAAAGGGGATATTGACAATTATAATTGTTAACGGAACTACAGTTAAATTGTTCAATTTTACAATTTTATGATGAAAACATTCCTATGAAATGATAAATAAACAAGAAACATGATGAAAATTGCAGCCTACTCCCTGCAGTCAAGGTTGTAAAAAGATGGAATGGTAGAGTGGACACTTTTTCAAACACCAACCTGAAGAAGCAAAAACCAGGACTTGCATTTAAAGGAGCAGTCAGTCACGTGACAACACAACCCCTCCAATCAGACCACTTCCTGCAGTCAACATCACGTGACCAGCAGACACCAGTAGAGAGGCTAACATAAATAGAACCCGGTACCAGGCTCCTGCACAGGCAGCAGCTTCTCAAATCTAATAAACGTGCAGCAAGTCATATCTCCCTGATAAGAGATAAGACTAAATACTTGATACTATTAGAAAACTGCGGGAACCTAATATATTACCGTGGTGTGCAAGTTGCAAAACTCCAGAAACCAAAGAGAGAGTTGGTGGGGGAGATATATTGTGGATTAGAAAATGAGAACAAGCAGTCAAACTTTGAAAAGTAACATATCAACGATTTCAGTGCGTTCATTTCATGTTCAAGTTAACAAGATTTCTGCTCAATCCAAAAGTTAATTCGTCTTTTCTCTCTTACTGTCACCAAGATGTAACTAGTCCGAACTAAAAAGTAGGTCTCACGCAGGAATTAGGTCTCAAGCAGGCGCGGCTTATATATATATATATCACGCACCTGCGTGAGACCTAATTCCTGCATGAGACCTAATTTCTCCGTTCGACCTAGTTACATCTGGGAAGCCGAAAAAGCCTGGTGCGAGAACGTTTAACTTGTGTGTTGTGCCTGACAGAAAAGCTCATCATCATCAAAAACCCGATTAAGTCCCTCAACAGCAGGACTGAGTTAACGGGTGATACTCGTAAAATATCTGTTCCATATACAGGACCGTCGACGAGTCCAACTCGGCGCGCGTCCTGGTAGGTTGTAAACCTACAAGGACTGAGCTAATCTCAAAATGAAGGCACCCAAGGAAATTCTTGATTCACGATGTCAATCCTTCACATCTAGGTGATGCCCAGTGGTGCATCTTGCCGATCTAGCGAAGGTTGTGGTTGCTTAACGGGTGATACTCGTAAAATATTTGTTTCAAATAGGACCGTCGACGAGTCCAACTCGGCGCGCGTCCTAGTGTAGGTTATAAACCTACAAGTGGTTGCGAGAAACATTATTTAATGCGCGGCGTGGCCCATATCTTAACGGGTGATACTCGTAAAATATCTGTTCCATATATCTGTTCCATATATTGGGACCGTCGACGAGTCCAACTCGGCACGCGTCCTGGTAGGTTGTAAACCTACAAGGCCCATACCAGTAGTGTATCGCGTTGTAGGTTTACAACCTACCAGGACGCGCGCCGAGTTGGACTCGTCGACGGTCCAATATATGGAACAGATATTTTACGAGTATCACCCGTTAATGTATCGCGCTACATAACAAGGAAATTCCTAATAATGCACTGCTGATAAGTTTATGAAGGAGCAAACTGTCTTAAAAGAATATTTTTAGATCCAATCTAAGTTCCTGACGATTGCTTTAGTTTAATTGCTATAGTATGAAACTTGAAATAGAACTTGCCATTTGAACTTTGTTTCATTTGTTCTATAATTTGCTCCTTGACATAAAGTTGAGCACTGTAGTGCAGATAAAGGAATAATATTATTATACATTATACATTATATTATATAATGTATATATACATTATATATAAGGTACATCATAAAATGTATACTGTAGACGTAGTTGGTTTGATAGTACAGTAAAACCTTTTTATACTGTACTTGGTTTGATAGTACAGTAAAACCTTTTTATACTGTACTTGACTTTAACGGAGCCTAGTTTAAATTTAGAATCTAGATAAGATTAAGATAACATTTATGATAAGAGATAATCAGATTTAGAAAATGGCTTTTCTATAAGTGTAACCGTATCTTTGCATGGTAACAAATTGCAAGCCTGTTATTATAAGCGTACAAGAAACCAAAAACCAATTCCTGGAAAGTACAATCGACGAAATTATTGCGAGGAATTCTCGATATGATAAGGGAATAGGGATAATCTAGATATTGGCACATTTTCAGCTGCTGTGGTCAGTTATTAAGTCCCAGTGCTGCTTACGCAACTGTTTCAAGAACAAACTTTCCTGGCACGAAACTTCACAATTTGGACAGAATTTATCTGCAGTTTACAAAAGTTTTTTATTATATTTGGGAAAATATGGGAATGATATTGATGATCATTCCCATAATGTATCGAAATGTTTCAATCACCTAATATCATTTTATAATTTTTACTTACGTCATACATATGTTTTCGTCATTTCTGATAAACGGATTAAACGGATTAAACGTTAATTGGTCAAGAAAAGCCCTAACACTCCTGCCCTCCTGGCTTGACAATACAAGAATGAAATCATAACATAGAAATAAGATACAAAAACCGTAAAGAAGCATAAACTATAATTTAAGCTAAGTCTCTCGGGAAACGAGGTGCATCTATATCAACAAAAAATTTAGCAATCTCTTTTAAAAGCTTTGGTTGAGTGAATATAAGATCCATTCCCTCGAAGAGGTTGGTTCGAGTGTTAAAATTACAATTTTCATTTAACCATAACTCCGCTTCCGGACCACCGATTTACAAAATTCAAAAATGGGTGTTTAGAGAAAATTCTGAACTTTTCTCAGACGTTAGAAATTATGGTCATTCCTGCTTCAGGAGAGACTGGCAGGCCCATAAATAAGGGGTTTGATCACGATAATGATAATATTTATGAAGGAGCACATGTTTTAATAGCAAGTGAAGAATTTTTCTTTACTTTGACATTACCATGAAGTTTAAAACGGAATATCTTTGTACTGCATTCTTCGATTTCGATGAAATTCACAAGGTAACGAGACCAAATGTTTCTCACTCTCAGTTGATTTAAATAAATACCGTCGGAGTTGTCAATCTGCAGCCAGATATATCATAAGTTTACTATGCTGAGTTGGATATTGTGAAGACAATGGTTGTATATGCTTATATGGCTTTGAAACGTGGACACTGACAGATTCATCGAAGAAACGTATTGATGGCTGCTTCGCCTACTATTAGTTCACTTGCAGCGCAATGCACTGCCACTACTGGGCCGCGCCGCGCATCAAATAATGTTTCTCGCAACCAACTAGATCGGCGAAATGCACCACTGGGTCTCGCCGAGCTGTGAAGGATTAACATCGTGAATCAACTGCTTCACTAGAATGCTCAAAATGGAACTGAATATAGATTGGAAACAGCGCAAAAGTCTATGGCAACCTGCCAATAGCATCCATGAAGATTTCATTGTCTTCGCATGCACTATATGATCGTCATGAAAAAGAAAAGGAACGATCGTTCAATCATAAAATAATGACAGTGGAGCAGGGTACTTTTAGTATTCTTAGTATTTGGAACCGCCGCACCAGAGTGAAAGACTTTTCTAAAGCATCTGAGTACCAAGATCGCGGAAAAAAGGCAGGATTTATATACTTTTAATACAAACTAAAACCTGTCGTTTAAATGTGTATTTCGCTCTCGGCTTGCGACGCCTCTCACAATATACTGTTACAAATATAACAATATATTCCAACAGGCAAGTGTGTGTCGAGACAAATGGCGGACATTACTCTACATGTCCTATTATTTGCCATAGCCAAACCCCAATTAAGAACACTTTGGAAAAACATAGCTCTCTATTTCTCCAAACAGAGAGTTTCCATCCTAAACACATGTTCAAGTCAGTAGTCTTCTCCCAAATGATCAGAGTTATCCAGAGAAACTCTCAAGACCACACTAGTGTAGAGGACTTGCACGTATCTTTTATCATACATTTTTTCGTGAATATGAATTATGAATTGGTTTATGGTCTTTCGCATCGTCACCAGCACTTTCACTAGGTCACCAGCTCTTTTACTGAAGTCATCAGCCCTTTCACTGAAGTCATCAGCCCTTTCACTGAAGTCATCAGATGTGACTCTGATCAACGGTATAGTTGTGGAACACAACAATAAAATTGAGAATAATCTTGTGCGAGGGTAGGGACCCAGATGTCGTTTCTAACCCAAATAAACTTTAAGGAGGCTTCTCATCAGTAGCCGCACCTCCTTACTCGGTTTCTGAACTGGAATTCTATGGGCTTCCAGACGGCCAGACCGAGTATTAACCATCCCATCCTTCTAGAGTTCATCACAAGTAGCACCCACCTTGAAGATCTTTGACACCCAGACACACCCCAGGCCATTGGCGAACAAACTTTGGATATAATCTTACATGCTCCCGAAGGAATCCCTGGTTTATGGTCTTTCTCATCGTCACCAGCACTTTCACTAGAGTCACCAGCCCTTTCACTGGAGTCATCAGCCCAATCACTGAAGTGTACAGAAGTACAGTTGTGGAACACAACAAGAAACACTAGTGTAGAGGACTTGACCAGATGCAGACATGCTGAAGAGACCTTAGAGGACATTGAACCCTTGGCAGTACAACGATCAGTTATCGAGAACGAAATTTATGAACATCTCGGACACCCAACCAAGAAGACATCAGGGAAACTGATCTACTCGGTGAAATTTTTCAAGGAAGTAGATCAGCTAAAAACTTTGATGGGGTTTCTAAAGGATGAAATTAGACCACTCTGTGGTGATGTCAGGGTCACCTTCGCTTTGAGGAGGAATAGGGTCATCAGGAACCGTCGCCTTAGTGAAAGCTCTTTATCAAGCGAAGACTCGTTAGGACCGAAAACGATGTGAGACTAAAGGGTGTTTGACCTGTCCTTTGTTATTTGATCCTACAGAGTACAGATGTTATCATTGTTAATGGGCAGATAGTTAATTTAGATTTTAGACTAAATTGTAAGGATAGGAGTATTATTTATTTAGCTCAATGTCAGATTTGTGTAGCGGAGAACAGTATCCTTAAAAGCTTAAAGAGGACTCATACATTGGCCAGACAGTTACACCCATGCACATACGGATGAATGGCCATAGGGATAAATTTATAATTGATTGATTGTTTGGCTTCCACCTTCGATCTTTTTTCTTAGGTTGCTCAGCTTGTGATTTTTTTAATAATGTTGAATTTTCTATCATTTGTAAGAATTACTGTTGTTTCACTTGATGCCGTTTCATTGCTTATCCAATTTAACAACTTTTACATATATAATATATATTCAAAGCATATGTAGCCAATTGTATTTGAACAAAGTTAGGTTTTTATGTCTGACTCCGAGAGGGCCAAGAAATAAAATTCAAGAAAGCTTCATCAGCGGAGATTTTCAATTAATGCTAAGCTAAAATATACATTAGACATATATATACATTTTGAAACTTTTTTTTTCCGAAAAAAAGTTATTTATTGCTTGTTTTATTTGTATTTATGCTTCTTGATTTATGATTATCTGTGTATGAGATTCTATGATTAAACATAATTTGTGGATCATAATTTTATGATTGCATAATTCATTGTAACTTTGTTGTATTTCAGTATTATGCAAAGGGATGGAATTGCTTTAACCAGGTTTAGCCCTGGCCCCTGGCTCTATATTATGAAGGCCTTGTTCTAAAATAACCGATCCAAACTACTTAAGTGGTTAGGGGTGGGTTGGGTTGTGGGTTGGGTTTTTTAAAGTATTGTATGATATAATCTATTTCATTAACAAGTTAACAAATTATTAACATTATGATATTTTATGCACGCTGTATTTTATTATTGCACAATCATCTCTATTACAATATTATATCTTAGATTTATACGTGTTGATTGTATGAAATGTTTTGTCAGGGACCATATTTTGTAGGTGTAATTTTTGCACGAACTACGTTCTGGTTTCCCGTCATTATAGTACATAGAAATCACTTTTTGACCGTGTTATTTTCATGCAATTACATTGATGTATGTACTATTTTGAAAAGATTTTCAATAAAAAATTAAAAAATGTAAAAGTAATATTGTCCCATCTTTAAAGATTAAAGAAGAAATTTCCTGGACCGAAATTTCATAGGTTATCAAGACATTTTTATGCTGATATTCAGGGTCGATGTTTTAAATAAATTTACACAGGTAAACAATGTTGCATATTTGAGCACATAATAAAAACCACTAAAAACTAAACCGCAGTAGTGCGATGTATATATATATATATATATATAGTGTGATGACCTAAACAATACAATATGTTCATTTGATTTTTTGTATAGAAACTTACATTTTATTTTACTTATTACAAAAACCTCAGAAATAACAAAATAATTTAAAATTTAATTTTAACCGTCGATGTGGATTCTGGTTACACGTGATAGCAATAAACCAATCGGCTTCATTATTGACCAATCAAACCCCAAAATCAATGTCACTTACCTCCAGAATCTACATCTATAGGATTACAAATTACAAATTACATGAGCTCTCCCCTCCGCAACTTTACACATACCACATTCTCTAGGTTACTTCCAATTTAGAAAAAAGGTTTAACGTCTTCAAATACTACAGACATTTCGTCAAACTGTTGAAGATCTGCCATTCCTTGGTGAGAAACATTGGAGTAGCTTGAGGTAGACCACCTGAAATAAATAAGCTACAAATCGAAATAGTAACCATGGTATCAGTAATATTACAATACTTTGGCAATAATAACCACAGTTACCGTGACAATGGAAACAATAAACATGGTAGCCATGGTAACCATAGAAGTAGTAAGTAACATTGAAAACACCATGTAGCAAGTTATCTTTCACCTGAATGGTGGTTGTTGTTCCCAAGTAGGTCCTCCAGCAATTCTCATCCCTAACTTCTTCATCAGACCTGTGGTTACATTCCTTATGCTTAATAGAAAAATTAAATGTTGAAACGTTCCTTATGCTTAATAGAAAAATTAAATGTTGAAACGTTCCTTATGCTTAATAGAAAAATTAAATGTTGAAACGTTCCTTATGCTTAATAGAAAAATTAAATGTTGAAACGTTCCTTATGCTTAATAGAAAAATTAAATGTTGAAACGTTCCTTATGCTTAATAGAAAAATTAAATGTTGAAACGTTCCTTATGCTTAATAGAAAAATTAAATGTTGAAACGTTCCTTATGCTTAATAGAAAAATTAAATGTTGAAACGTTCCTTATGCTTAATAGAAAAATTAAATGTTGAAACGTTCCTTATGCTTAATAGAAAAATTAAATGTTGAAACGTTCCTTATGCTTAATAGAAAAATTAAATGTTGAAACGTTCCTTATGCTTAATAGAAAAATTAAATGTTGAAACGTTCCTTATGCTGAATAGAAAAATTAAATGTTGAAACGTTCCTTATGCTAATTAGATCCCTAATTAAAGTGCTCACTGTAGTTAGTTCCCTTGTAATCTATACCACCCGAGGGTTGACTACCAAATAAGGGCATAGGATAAGTTCCATTGACAGGATTTAGGTCACTCCGTGATGAGATAGCGTTTATGGCTGAGTAGGGGGGACTGCAGGCACATTTAGCAAGAGGATCGTGCTGATAGTCGTTATATCTCATCAACTTGTAAAGAGAGCCCATGTCGGTTACTTTGTTTGCATCCCTCTTGAAGATGAGAGCTCGCGGGTTGTTGTCGTAGGAGAAAACGTCCCCGAACTTGTCAACAAACTGCTGAATACCGGACATGTTAAAGATAGTGGGATAGAAGGGTAGATTGTAACTGGGGAAGTATTGTTGTGTGGTCAGGAGATCTGTTTGGTCTTCATAGATAACAGTTCCAGGCAGCTGCTCCATAACATGTAGAGTACCTGGTTTGAGGTGATGTTAAATACTTAATAACCTGGTTACCTGGTTACCTGGTTACCCGGCTACCTGGTTACCCGGTTACCCGGTTACATGGTTACCTGGTTACATGGTTACCTGGTTACCCGGCTACCTGGTTACCCGGTTACCCGGTTACATGGTTACCTGGTTACATGGTTACCTGGTTACCTGGTTACCCGGTTACCCAGTTACCCGGTTACCCGGTTACCCGGTTACCCGGTTACATGGTTACCTGGTTACATGGTTACCTGGTTACCCGGTTACCCGGTTACCCGGTAACCTGGTTACCCGGTTACCCGGTAACCTGGTTACCTGGGAACCTGGTTACATACTCTACAGTTGCCCCACAATATGTAGATTACCTGGTTTGAGGGGAGTGTTGGGGGTGAAGAGATTGTAGTCGACAATCATCCACTGATTGTTGTAAGTACCGCTGTTGAACCTCCTGAACACCTCGCACCACTCCCTCCCGGTCCGTGCTAATCTGTTAGCCACTACCCCTCTCATATACTCCGGTACACTTCCCTCCGGCTTGATATACTTCCACAGATCTGGGTTAAGGGTAGGTAGTGTAGTTTCCTGGGCCGCCAAACCACTGCTGATAAGAGTGAAGTCGTCTCCGCTGAAGACATACCCTGGGTAACTGGTGAACACTTGTTTCTTACCCGGCATCACACTCTGAGTCCCCGGTCCTGACCTGGTAATTTATAATTGGTAATTAATTATTAATTATGTCCAAGAACAGCCAATATCAGCCATGACACGGCAACAGAAAACATTAAAATTAAAATTAAAGTATTTTGAAAATTGTTTCAGGGTGATCATATTATGTACTGTATGATGTGTGTAGGTATGTATCTATATTATCTTATTATGTACCTATAATTGAAATTGTAGCTTTTAACTACTCTGACCATGGCGGAGTAATCGTTCCAAGTAACATGTGACACCAGGAGGTCGTCAACTGTCCATTTCACTAGAGCAGTGCAATGTCCAGATCCTAGCACCCTCTCTGGGAGACACGTCATTACACACTAATTACTAACTAAAGTTAGTAGTTCTACTAACTTATTACACACTACAAAGTTAAATGTAGTTTTTATGAGGAAGTCGGGTACAGCAAAGCTGAGTACGCTTATATGGTATGGTATTGGTATGAGGTTGAAAACAAATATGCTTCTATTGCTGCCTGGTACATTATCAGTGATAATGTACCAGGCAGCAGATAATGTTTTAGTGATAATATTATCCGACATGTTAGAGTCAAACAAATTTGTTTGGTTGTTCCTGACCCTATAGAGCAACTAATAAGATATGATCTCTAATCATTTGAACAATTAATGGTAATTTGTCACAGTAAGTGTGGTAAAAGTGTCTCACCTAACATCCGTTCTTTTTCTCGGGTAATCTTCCCTACTGGGGTACCCAGTCCATAGACATCTCTGTGATATCCGATCTCATCCGTCCCTGGAAGGAAATAAAGTGTTAAACCTTTTTAATAACACTCATGTCTCCTTGTAACCTGTCTCCATGTAACCTGTCTCCATGTCACCTGTCTCCATGTCACCTGTCTCCATGTCACCTGTCTCCATGTCACCTGTCTCCATGTCAAATATCTCCATGTCACCTGTCTCCATGTCACATGTCTCCATGTCACCTGTCTCCATGTCAAATGTCTCCATGTCACCTGTCTCCATGTCACATGTCTCCATGTCACCTGTCTCCATGTCACCTGTCTCCATGTCATCTGTCTCCATGTCACATGTCTCCATGTCACATGTCTCCATGTTACCTGTCTCCATGTCACATGTCTCCATGTCTCCAGACATCTCTGTGATATCCGATCTCATCCGTCCCTGGAAGGTAATAAAGTGTTAAACCTTTTTAATAACACTCATGTCTCTTTGTAACCTGTCTCCATGTAACCTGTCTCCATGTCACCTGTCTCCATGTCACCTGTCTCCATGTCACCTGTCTCCATGTCAAATATCTCCATGTCACCTGTCTCCATGTCACATGTCTCCATGTCACCTGTCTCCATGTCACATGTCTCCATGTCACCTGTCTCCATGTCACATGTCTCCATGTCACCTGTCTCCATGTCACCTGTCTCCATGTCATCTGTCTCCATGTCACATGTCTCCATGTCACATGTCTCCATGTTACCTGTCTCCATGTCACCTGTTTCCATGTCACATGTCTCCATGTCACCTGTCTCCATGTCACCTGTCTCCATGTCACCTGTATATAAGCACATGTCACATGTCTCATAGTCCGTCTCCCACCTTACCTAGTGCATCCTCCATATCTATGAGGTCGAGGCTGAAGTTAAGCAGATAAAAATCGGAGAGCGTGAGAATACCGGGGTGGACCATGTTGAACCCCTCGTACATTCCCTCTATTTGTAAGAGCAGCAGATTAACATGATGCCTGCATTGAGATCCCTCGGTTTAAGATTAAACTAACTACTATAAACTACTACTACTCCTCCGAAAACGTTTCTCTGCCAAGAAGGAATATATAGACCATGTTAACAACATAGAATAAAAGGAAACTGCACTGAATGCCTGTAAAATCTCATTTACCAATAAGGGGACACGTCTTTATTCTTCTGAATCATTATTCTCATCCATTTTTGGTTTGAATCCATGTACGTTTTGAGTTTATCACAATAATCAGACGACTTTTCTGGACGGCAGTATCTGAAAATCAAAACATTAATGACAAGACAATTATTTACAGAAATAGTGTTTCCTTCTTCATCTGGATGCCATGATCTAGTAACCTGGTACCCTGGTACCCTGGTACCCTGGTAACCTGGTAACCTGGTAACCTGGTAACCTGGTAACCTGGTAACCTGGTAACCTGGTAACCTGGTAACCTGGTAACCTGGTAACCTGGTAACCTGGTAACCTGGTAACCTGGTAACCTGGTAACCTGGTAACCTGGTAACCTGGTAACCTAGTAACATGGTAACCTGGTAACCTGGTAACCTGGTAACCTGGTAACTGGGTAACATGGTAACCTAGTAACATCGTAACCTAGTAACATCGTAACCTAGTAACATGGTAACCTAGTAACCTAGTAGCCTAGTAGCCTAGTAACCTGGTAACCTGGTAATCTAGTAACCTAGTAACCAGGTAACCTAGTAACATAGTAACCTAGTAACCTGGTAACCTGGTAACCTAGTAACCTAGTAACTTTGGAACCTGGTAACCTGGTAACCTGATAATCTGGTAACCCGGTAACCTGGAAACCTGTTAACCTGTTAACCTGGTAACCTGGTTACCTGGTTACCTGGTTACCTGGTTACCTGGTTACCTGGTTACCTGGTTACCTGGTTACCTGGTAACATGGTAACCTGGTTACCTGGTAACCTGGTAACCTGGTAACATGGTAACCTAGTAACATGGTAACCTAGTAACCTAGTAGCCTAGTAGCCTAGTAACCTGGTAACCTGGTAATCTAGTAACCTAGTTACCTGGTAACCTAGTAACATAGTAACCTAGTAACCTGGTAACCTGGTAACCTGGTAACCTAGTAACCTAGTAACTTTGGAACCTGGTAACCTGATAATCTGGTAACCCGGTAACCTGTTAACCTGTTAACCTGTTAACCTGGTAACCTGGTAAACTGGTTACCTGGTTACCTGGTTACCTGGTTACCTGGTTACCTGGTTACCTGGTAACCTGGTTACCTGGTTACCTGGTTACCTGGTTACCTGGTTACCTGGTTACCTGGTTACCTGGTTACCTGGTTACCTGGTTACCTGGTTACCTGGTTACCTGGTTACCTGGTTACCTGGTTACCTGGTTACCTGGTTACCTGGTTACCTGGTTACCTGGTTACCTGGTTACCTGGTTACCTGGTTACCTGGTTACCTGGTTACCTGGTTACCTGGTTACCTGGTTACCTGGTTACCTGGTTACCTGGTTACCTGGTTACCTGGTTACCTGGTTACCTGGTTACCTGGTTACCTGGTTACCTGGTTACCTGGTTACCTGGTTACCTGGTTACCTGGTTACCTGGTTACCTGGTTACCTGGTTACCTGGTTACCTGGTTACCTGGTTACCTGGTTACCTGGTTACCTGGTTACCTGGTTACCTGGTTACCTGGTTACCTGGTTACCTGGTTACCTAGTGACACCTAGTAACTAACCCCGACATAGTATTTGTCCACATTTGTAGTATACGAGTGGCAGTAGCATATCCCTCTCCGATCCCTGCTGCCCTAGCCTGTTCTTCATCGCTCACAGAGGAGTTTGTAGTGATTGTTAGGAACGCCCAGCCTGTCCTAGGTGCATTTAGTTTTACTTTTATTATCATTAAAACGAGAACACCCTTAATTCAACTTTCTTAAATATACTTTCTTGAATAGGTTTAAGGTTAAGATTCATTGAATAAAATGAAAGTACGTTACAAAACGAATTCTATAATTTTACTTTTCCATCAAGTCTTTGAAGTCCACCCGAGCAGCAGCCGGTGCAGCCTGTTGCTTAGTTACCGCCCCACTGCTAGTCACATAAAACACTTTTCTTACTGGACTGCTGATTGGTTTGGTGGAGATGGGTAACAGTAGTAAAGTCAGTACTACAAGTTTCCAAATGTGGTCCTGCTGTTCCATCTATTTGGGGATCTTTTAAAATAAGAGATTTGTTACATAATATAATAGTGTCAGTAAAATTATTCAAATAATATACACAGATAAATTCAGCAATGATTATTATGGTTAGACACCCTCTAAAGTTCAATTAATAAAATTGCATACAATAAAATATAAAAATAAACACTTAATGGTTGAAATTACACAACCATTGGTGCCCACTACAACAAGCAATTCAGATCATTACCCAACAATGAACAAACATCCCCTGATCATTTATGGTCTAAGAAATATTTATTAGGTTCAGGTCCAAATCGGATATTGCTCCTTTGTATTCCCTGACTGAAATAATCCATGTTCTGAGAAAGTTAAATCGTAATCTGCGTCTGATAAAAGCCATCAGAGTATCTTTGGCCTTTCCGATGGCTGATATTTTCTGCTACAGCAGGGTGTCATAATTAGCCATTTATCATTTTGTACTGTCTCACAACATGATTGGCACAATTAACTTAGTAAAATGGTAACCTGGCCTTCATCCTAATAAATACCCATGTAATGTGACAGAGAAAGGAGTATGGTTCCTCCCGCTTAATACAGACGCTTGTAAAGCGAACCCCTGGTTAAGATTTACAGTCATGGTACGATATGTCGCCACGGGAAGTCGAACTCTAGCAGTCACCTAAGGGCAGTCACATCAGCGCAGAGGATTGAAGCCACCCGAAATGGTACCACTCAAACTGCGACCGCCAGCATCGCCCAGACTCGGCCAGGGAGGTGTCTCTCCAAGCAGCCCACTCCGCAACATCTGAGAGCAAGAGCGTCGGCCGCCCCACATAATATCAGCATTCAGCTAGAGGAGTAATACAACGTGCACAACAGTGTACCACGCCTATTAAACCACATTAAATAATATCGTCGTTTATGCTAATGATCAGTGCGGAATCTTTTTACTGAAAACTTTATAAATCAGATCTGAATTTGTTTGTTGTTTCCGTTGTTATGAGGACTAATAAGTTTATCGCAGGGATGTTAACTCGCCAGTTATTTACCAGGTGGAGCAATTAGTAAACAAAACAAATAAAAAAGAAAAAAAGAAAATGATAGTCACGTTGAAAACTGAACAGTGAAAAACGAGCAATTTAAGACAGAACTTTTAATTATATTTATACATAGTAACGTCCGATAAAGTATGTAACATGCTGTCCAAAACCAAAATACATAATATGAAGACTTTGTTGTAACTTTGTATAAAAAGCATCAATAATAATACCTTATCGGACGATATTTGACCAGACATTGCGTGAACGGACATAATTTTGAACGGACATTAAAGTGAACGCTCGAAGGCATTCAAAACCATCAAAAATCCGAATTTTTTTCAATATTTTTTGATGTTTTTTAAATTTCAGCAAATGATTTTTAAATCCATTTTTTATACAGTAAGTAAGAAAAGCAGTCATTAAGCAGTAAAAATGTTAAAATATGTGTGCATGATCAGTGTCTAATATCACATATCATCTTCATCAAATGGGTTTTCGTGCATGAAATAGTCCATGCTTAAAGCATCAGTGATTTCTAGCTTTATGGAAACCTTTTTTTTTTTAATCAAACTAGCCCGGTCCTGCATTTCAGTGTTAACTTTTACAAGCCATTCGGCGTGAAGTGGTTTTATCTTAGACAACTTAAGGTCAACCTTAACATCACGTGGAGCTTTCCTAGCACTGTTTCATTACCGCCCCCGAGTAATATGAACTATAACAACGTCGGACAATGTCCTTGGCAACACGATTTACCGTAATATCTAGAGGCTGGAACAAGTTTGTCATGTTGGCGGGGACTAGTTCATGAACTATGTTGTTGAGTGCCATAATTTCGTTGACTTTTTTCCGCCAAATGACCCTTGAAAACATCATATACTAGTAGTAGTAGTAGTAGTAGTAGTAGAGTTTTCTGTGCCTCCGGCAGACCAATGAGAACCTTTCTGTCGTTGACTTACGGCACAATAAAGTTCTCAAAGTTGTCTTATTCTGGACAAAAAGTTCGAAATGGAAAAATGTTTGAAAAAATTTCAACGGACTTTAACTTGGACGGACATTAATTCGTTAAATGTAATTTATTTAACTACCTTGTCGAATTGGACACAGGGGGCACTAACTAACTACACGTCCTCCTTACCTAACTAACTAACTACACGTCCTCCTTACCTAGCGCACAGGAGGCACTAACTAACTACACGTCCTCCTTACCTAGCGCACAGGAGGCACTAACTAACTACACGTCCTCCTTACCTAGCGCACAGGAGGCACTAACTAACTACACGTCCTCCTTACCTAGCGCACAGGAGGCACTAACTAACTACACGTCCTCCTTACCTAGCGCACAGGAGGCACTAACTAACTACACGTCCTCCTTACCTAGCGCACAGGAGGCACTAACTAACTACACGTCCTCCTTACCTAGCGCACAGGGGGCAATGACTAACTACACGTCCTCCTTACCTAGCGCACAGGAGGCACTAACTAACTACACGTCCTCCTTACCTAGCGCACAGGAGGCACTAACTAACTACACGTCCTCCTTACCTAGCGCACAGGAGGCACTAACTAACTACACGTCCTCCTTACTTAGCGCACAGGGGGCACTAACTAACTACACGTCCTCCTTACCTAGCGCACAGGAGGCACTAACTAACTACACGTCCTCCTTACCTAGCGCACAGGAGGCACTAACTAACTACACGTCCTCCTTACCTAGCGCACAGGGGGCACTAACTAACTACACGTCCTCCTTACCTAGCGCACAGGAGGCACTAACTAACTACACGTCCTCCTTACCTAGCGCACAGGAGGCACTAACTAACTACACGTCCTCCTTACTTAGCGCACAGGAGGCACTAACTAACTACACGTCCTCCTTACCTAGCGCACAGGAGGCACTAACTAACTACACGTCCTCCTTACCTAGCGCACAGGAGGCACTAACTAACTACACGTCCTCCTTACCTAGCGCACAGGAGGCACTAACTAACTACACGTCCTCCTTACCTAGCGCACAGGAGGCACTAACTAACTACACGTCCTCCTTACCTAGCGCACAGGAGGCACTAACTAACTACACGTCCTCCTTACCTAGCGCACAGGAGGCACTAACTAACTACACGTCCTCCTTACCTAGCGCACAGGAGGCACTAACTAACTACACGTCCTCCTTACCTAGCGCACAGGAGGCACTAACTAACTACACGTCCTACTTACCTAGCGCACAGGAGGCACTAACTAACTACACGTCCTCCTTACCTAGCGCACAGGAGGCACTAACTAACTACACGTCCTCCTTACCTAGCGCACAGGGGGCAATGACTAACTACACGTCCTCCTTACCTAGCGCACAGGAGGCACTAACTAACTACACGTCCTCCTTACCTAGCGCACAGGAGGCACTAACTAACTACACGTCCTCCTTACCTAGCGCACAGGAGGCACTAACTAACTACACGTCCTCCTTACCTAGCGCACAGGAGGCACTAACTAACTACACGTCCTCCTTACCTAGCGCACAGGAGGCACTAACTAACTACACGTCCTCCTTACCTAGCGCACAGGAGGCACTAACTAACTACACGTCCTCCTTACCTAGCGCACAGGAGGCACTAACTAACTACACGTCCTCCTTACCTAGCGCACAGGAGGCACTAACTAACTACACGTCCTCCTTACCTAGCGCACAGGAGGCACTAACTAACTACACGTCCTCCTTACCTAGCGCACAGGAGGCACTAACTAACTACACGTCCTCCTTACCTAGCGCACAGGAGGCACTAACTAACTACACGTCCTCCTTACCTAGCGCACAGGGGGCACTAACTAACTACACGTCCTCCTTACCTAGCGCACAGGAGGCACTAACTAACTACACGTCCTACTTACCTAGCGCACAGGAGGCACTAACTAACTACACGTCCTCCTTACCTAGCGCACAGGAGGCACTAACTAACTACACGTCCTCCTTACCTAGCGCACAGGGGGCAATGACTAACTACACGTCCTCCTTACCTAGCGCACAGGAGGCACTAACTAACTACACGTCCTCCTTACCTAGCGCACAGGAGGCACTAACTAACTACACGTCCTCCTTACCTAGCGCACAGGAGGCACTAACTAACTACACGTCCTCCTTACCTAGCGCACAGGAGGCACTAACTAACTACACGTCCTCCTTACCTAGCGCACAGGAGGCACTAACTAACTACACGTCCTCCTTACCTAGCGCACAGGAGGCACTAACTAACTACACGTCCTCCTTACCTAGCGCACAGGGGGCACTAACTAACTACACGTCCTCCTTACCTAGCGCACAGGAGGCACTAACTAACTACACGTCCTCCTTACCTAGAGCACAGGGACTGGTGTGTGGTGTGCCAAGTAAGCGTCCTCCCAGCCTCACTGTCAGCAGATCTCTTTGGATAAGATATACGACAAATATAAAATATACGATAATATACGATACGGATAAACAAAGTTTTACAAGCAACAAATAAAGGATATAATTATCACATGACTCACTAGTCATTACAAATAAAGTTACCTTATCTCCGTTTCTTAAAATAGGTCTGATAAGAAAATGAACCAGTAAGTAATCAAATCTAGCTGCCTGAAACCCGTGGAGATTTGATTACCATATCTAGACCAGTCGATTTTCGCGGCTCACGGCTGTTCAACTACTATTAACTTACCGGGCCGCGCTCAGACTGTCATTCCGCCGAATCTCTATTAGTATTATGTTTATGAACATGATAGCCTGAGGTCCCCAGATAACTATTGTCATATTACCTGGCACGCCAATTCCAATGGTAAACTTAAAGACTAATTACTAAAATATATAGGGTTAGGGTTAGGGTTAGGGTTAGGGTTAGGGTTAGGGTTAGGGTTAGGGTTAGGGTTAGGGTTAGGGTTAGGGTTAGGGTTAGGGTTGGGGTTAGGGTTAGGGTTAGGGTTAGGGTTAGGGTTAGGGTTAGGGTTAGGGTTAGGGT